TTTTTATACACCATAAAACCTATTATGTTTTACTACCCCACGTTAATACTATAAAATGGCAGAGTTTGCTTTGAGAAGTTGGTTCACATATTTAACACATCTTAGTCACTTTTAATCCCAGTATTGCCCCCATGATCTCCTTCCCCTTCTCCAAAGTCTACCTCCAGGTTTTCTGTCATCTCTCTTTCATGTTATTTACTTACTTATTTTTGGTACTAGGGATTGAATTCGGGACCTTCTGTTTGCAAAGCAGGTGGTGGAACCACTGAACTAAATCCCTGGCACTCATGTTATTAATTAACTTGTACATTTTTATGTTTTTCATATAAGAGAAAATATGATATTTAACTTTTGTGAGTATGGCTAATTTCACTTAAGATGATGGTTCTTAGTTCCACCCATTTTCCTAAAAATTATAGCTAATTCCACTATGTATATACACTGTATTTTCTTTATCCATTCATCAACCTTCAACAGTTTTAAATTATTGTTCATTCGTGTTGCTTTGATATAACTCCTATACATGTAGCAAAGGAAATGAAGAATATAAACAAGTGAGTTTTTTATTATAAAATCTTCTTTTGAGCAGTGTCTGGGTAGACTTTTCTTGGAACGTCTGGTTATAGGTAACTATTAATATATGACCCCTTTTTTAAAGAACTCATTTCTACTATAATTTGAGAAATCATTTTAATTCTTAAGTAGAAATTAGCAAACTGGCTCACAGGTCAAATCTGGTCCACTGTCAGTTTTAGTAAATAAGATTTCACTGGGATACAGTCATGCCCACTCAATTATATATTGTCTATGTCTTCTCTTATACCACTATAACAAAGTTGAATAGTTACAATAGAAACAGTACAGGCAAAAAAGCCTAAAATATTTACTACCTGGCCCTTTTAAAAAAAGTGCTGACCTTGCAACATGCATTTTAAGAAATATTTGCTGATTCCATAAGATACAATAAATACAGAAAATTATAATATTGATATCCTCTCAATCCCATATAGCATACTAGCAAGCTTCTTTAAATAATACAAATATGTCCACTAAAAAATCTGAAGAGGAGTTTGGGATTTAGCTCAGTGGTTTCACCGCTTGCCTCACAAGTATAAGGTCCCAAGTTTGATCCCAAGTACCCCCCTCAAAATAATATTAATCTGAACAGGGTTAGGAATGTGGCTCAGTGATAAAGAATGCTTGTCTTGCACACATGAAGCCCTAGATTCAGTCCCCAAAACTGTGAAAACAAAAACAAAAAACCTTGTATAAAAGTCTTAATTTTGTTGTATAACTGATAATGTGAAACAGGAAGAAAAGGGCTAAAGGCATAGGGGAAGTGGGAAGGGTAGGGGAAAGGAAATAAGGGACAAGAAAAAATATGAGACAAGGAAAAAATGGAAACAAAGTCTTTGTAAATAGGGGAGGGGGAGAGGTGAAGGGAGGGCAGGGGGACAGGGAAAAATGAGAACTAAGATCTGTCACATAAAGGTACAAGATCCCAATGATGAATGTAACTATACTGTATACTTAAAAAGTACCAATAAACTCAGTAAGTTTTTAAAAAGTCTTAATTTTGGATAGTTTTAATCCTAGATACTTTTTTACTATTAGTTTGTATTTTAAATGACCTCTTTCCTGTTGGCTGGTGATGTACAGAAACCAGTAATATTTTAAAATATTGAAAACAGATACCTAGCACCCTGTTAATTTTGTTCATATTTTCTACATTTAGAATTATATTGCTTCTTTGTTCTCAGCCCTTATTTTTCTTGTCTTGCTATACTGGCTAGAATCCCACGAAAGTGCTGAAGTCATGTAGTGATAGTGGGCACCACATCTTTGTCTTTTTATCTTGTCCTTTTTTTCTTCAGTACTGGAAAATGAGCACAGGGCTCTTGCACTAGCTATACCCCCAACTTCCCCTCCTTTCCGTTTGCTGTTGTTGGTTATTGCTGTTTTGAGACAGGGTCTAACTAAATCTCTAAATTTCCTGGGCTAGAGTCAAATTTTCTATTCTCCTACCTCAGCCTCTCAGAGTGCTGGTGGGATTACAGAAAGAGCCATGGCACCCAGCTTTGTTGTTCATTTTACAGAGACTGATGCAAACATTTTACCACAAAAATTAATATTTGGCTTGGGTAGACACTCTTTATCATTTTAAAGATGTCTCTTTTCAATCTTAATGTTTCCCTTTCCTTTTCCTTTCTTTTTATAATCATGAATTATTCTATATTGTTTTTACTGTCTCTCTGTAAGAGGTCTATTTCATAAGAGCCACCTGTAATCTAAAAATCACCAGAAAATCATGAGGAAGAGCATGTGACAAAAGAATTGTAAATACTGTAAAATTACTTTTTGCAGAAGTTGAATATTATTAGATTTTCAACAGCTCATTAATTATGAGAGAGTGTGGGCTTCGCATTACCAATTTTCATAACCAGTGAAACTAAGCTTTTTTTTCCCAAAGGCCGTTAACTCTTCATTCTTTTGTAAAATAACTCATCATATACTCTAATCACAGACACAGTATTTTTAATTTTAGATGTGTAAGAATACTAAGCTTTTGACTTGTTGAAACTATCTTTAATATTTTCCTTTTAAGGTTATTATAACCTTCAGAAATTTAAAACTTTTTATAGTGACTAGCAATCAGATCTATATGACTTTTTCTATTTTTTTGGTGCTTAAATGCTATTTTCCGATGGAACTCGCAGATGTTCAATTCCAATTCAGATTTTTTAAATGTATTTGTTTTTTCTGTACTAGGGACTGAACCCAGAAACAACTGTGCTACATCCTCAGCCATTTATTTTTTTATTTTGAGATAGGGTCTTACAACATCACTAAGTTGCCTAGGTCGGGTTCAACTTAGGGATCTCAAATTTAGGATCCTCCTGTCTCAGCATCCAGAGTACTGAGATTACAGACATGTGACACCACATCCAGCTCCAATTCAGATTTGTATGGTATGATTTTTTTTTAACATTCCTATTTATATACCAATCCATTCTTTGATCAATCTAAACTTTATTCTGAAAAAAATATAAAAAATAAAAATAAACAAAATTTATTCTGATATACATTTTTAAGAAGGTAGAAAGTTACCCAAAAAGCTAACCACTTATCCATTTATTGACCAAACTTTTTTCCTTCTCCCTGACATAGAACATTTAATATTTGTTATGATTATGAATTTAACTATATATTAGCAACAGACACCATCTTTTCACAAGTGACAGTATCTAAGACAGAATACTTTACAACTGCCAAACATATCTTTTTACTCATGACCATTCCATTTAATAGTAATGTTAGGTTAACTGTAATAATTTGATAAATTCTCCAAAATGTTGAGATTTAACTGGATTAGAATTAATCCAAGATTTCATTAAAAAGCCATATGCTTTTAGTATTCCATCTTTTCCGTCTAGTACAGTGGCATTCCCTACTATGGGTTTTGCATATATGGATTCAACCAACTACAGGTGGAAAAGTATTTGAAAAAAAAAATCACCTCTGTACTGAACACATACGTACTTTTTTGTCATTATTCTTTATACAACACAGTGTAACAATCAGTTATACAGCATTTACCTTGCATTAGATATTATAAATAACCTGGAGATAATTTAAATTATACAAGATGATGCATAGGTTATATGCTACACTGTGCCATTTTATATAAGGGAATTGAGCATCTATGGATTCTGATATCCAAAGGGAAAGCCAGAAGCAGTGCCCTGGATACTGAGGAATAGCTGTATTATGCTCTCACTCTTCATATTTTTTTCAAACAAATTGGTAGTTTTCCCATACTGTCTCAGTCTATTGCCATGTCATAATAATAATTGTTACTCTTGCATAGTTAAGGTTTTGGAGCTATTTTAATAGGATCTTTATTATGTGAAAGTGGGTGATTAATGTATAAGAATATTATTTTTACAAGTCTGTTATTTACTGAACTTTCATTAATTTTGTTTTTTAATAATTATATCAAAAATCATCTGTTGAATTCAGTGAAAATCATACCTTAGAAATAAGAAAGTTCAAACACAGCTAACTACATATTTTTATACAGAATAGAAGGAAAGAAGCAATACAACATTAAACTTTACTAAGAACCCACCAACTGACAGACACAATATTGAATACTATACATACATTACCTCTTTAATGAGGTGCACATAAGGCAATTAAAGGGCAATCTTATGAAGCAAACTAGGTCTGGATTTGAACTGTCATCTCCTAGCTTTAAAACCATAAATAAACATAATATATCAAAATATCAGATTCTTTAACATAGCACTCTTTTTTAATTAATGTATGTTCACAACACATAATACCATAGATACATTCATCTTGGGGAAATGGTACATATACCTCTTTCTTGTATTTGTGATTTCTTGTATTTGTGATGAAAATTAAATTATATATATATACACACACACACACACACACACACACACACACATATGTAAATAAAGTACTTGGAAATTAGTTATTTGTGAGATACAAATTAAGCTTATTTGTTTCCTCCTTTTGAGAATAAAAATACTTCTGAATTTCTATCAATAGTCATTATACATTCCCATAAATTAACTAAAATTTCATTTAAAATGTTAAGGCTGTAAGCAAACATTACTAAAAATCTTACCTTTCCCTTTTTTCAACTTTTTAAAAAAGTTATTTACAAAGATATGAGACTGTATTTTGTTATACAAAACATCAAATTTCCTGGGAAATTAACAATATTCCAAACATTTAAGATTTTATTAATAGAGGCCATTCTCACAACCCCCTTTAAATTTGTTTAATTATAATCACAAGTGATAAAGTAATATCCAACCAGAACAAAACATTGTAATTATCAAATTATATAGTTTATAATTTCTCGTACTCTACTCCTTTTCTAGGCAGATGGCAGAACCACTGAGCTATATCCCCAGCCCAACTTTATACTTTTTCTAATAAGTAAGTCACTTTATGTAAGAAAGTACCTTATTCTGTAGAGTACATTATGCCTGGATGACTCATCTATATGGAAGACATGGTTGGGCGGATACCAGATCCTTTCTGTTTCACTCATTAAAGCAAACATATTATGATACACAGGTGTGATACCTATAAAGAAAGCAGAAAAACAAATGATTCTAAGAGTTAACCAAATATTTATTTACATAACATCTATAATGTGTAATGGACGGAAGTTAAATATGGAGAAAATGCAGCAGCAACAAAAAACGTTTGGTACAACACCATCTAAAACTGAGTTTTTAATCAAATATCTCTTTTCTGTATGTTTTAAAACAAGGTGGGAGGCATCCTTTCATGAAGATTAAAAACAGTCAAAAAAGTTTTATCTAGTATTTTAATTGTTCTCTGCACAAAGGTAGCTTCAAACTTTCAAGTTTCTCTTAACTGAAGACCTGCAAGTCCTCGTGTTTGTGTATGTGTGTGTGTGCATGCGCATATGTGTATATTTTAATTAATACTGAGATTATTAATTGCTAAAACATATAAGTCACTGGATACTTTTTAAAGAACAATGAAGCAGTTTCACTTTAAAGTAAAGTTCTACATAATACCCTAGTAATTATGTCTTGTGAAAAACATTTTAAATATCCACTTAACATGTGCAAGGTCTCACGTTTTTCAGGTATTTCAGGAGACACATAAACAAAAGATTGAAGGACACTGAAAAAAATCATTCACATACACAAATGCACACAAATGCTCACAACATGTCTCCAGAATACAAGTCTTTACAAACCCCAAAATATAATCATATATACGGTGTTTTCTAGCCACAGTTCAATTATATCAAGCACAACATGTTAAAAAATGAATCCCCTATATTTCAAATTTAAACTTCACAGAAAATATTTTTATTCTAATACTTTTTCATGCCTTTCCATTATATATAGAAATGACAAAAACTTCATACTGACAAGAGATTTAAATTCTGAATTTAAACTATTAACAACTATCTATAGATATGTAATAATCTCAGCAAATTATACATTTAAAAATTGTCCTTACATTCGCTCTTTTATTTATAAATATTTCTAAGTATTTCACAAGGTCAAGGAAAAAAATAACAAAAACTAATGTACATTTCAATGAATGATTCTTAAATGACAAGTATTAAAAGTTGTAGAATACAACTAAAGTGATATTTGACAGGGGAAACTACAGTATACCCTGATTAAATTAGAAAATATACAGACACAGAATGATCTAAGCATCTATTTCAATACATTAGAAAACAGTAATCTCAAAAAAAAAGGTGAAAGAGGATATAATAAACAAAAGAGAATACAGATTCAATAAAGAGAATCAATAAAAGATGATTCTTTACAATAAGTAACAAAATAAGCAAGCCTTTGTCAAATATGAAGAAGAATAAAAAGAGGCAGAAGCACTACGATGGGGAAGGGGAAATTAGTAGGATGACTGAACCCAGGGTGCATGCAATGAGCTACTTCCCCAGCCCTTCTTATTCTTTTTATTTTAAAACAGAGTCTTGCAAAGTTGCCCATTCTAGGGTCAAACTTCTGGTTCTCCTGTCACAGCCTATGAAACTGTGGGATTAGAGGTATGTATTACCATACCTGGCTATATTACGTATTTTCAAAAATCATAATTATGAGATTATAAAGGTAAAAAAGTGCTAGAACATCATGCCAATAAATTTAAAAGTAGGTGGACGAACAATTTTCAGAAAAATACAGCTTTAAAAAGGTTTCAATAATAAAATAAATTTAATGGAACTATAATCATTAAAGATACAGAATATATTCACTTAAAAATGGAGAAGAAAGCTGGGCCCCGATCCACCGCGGGAAGGAGAGCCATGCCTGCTCCCGACCCAGCCACCATCGCTCAAATGCCGGGAAGGTAGCCGCGCAAGGGTGCCCCTAAACCCCTTTAAGCCCCCCCCCACTCTCAGGGAATTTCCCCTCACTCTTAATTCAAATGATTTAAGGGTGATAGACTAGTGACTACCACAGGTGGACAGTGTCCAAGTTGTGCTTGATCTTAATGTGTTGCTGATTGTATCAGTTGGGGTAAAGCATTGCCATTGATCATCAAGGGTATTTTTCTGAGCTCCCAACTTTGAACATCTTTAAAGAAAGCGCGTGGGAAACCAGTAATAGAACGTTGTGGAGTTCAACCATTCAGAAGGATGGGGAACACAATGGGGGCCTTGCAGCCCGAGGTCAGTCAGGGTCATGGGGTTCAGCCATCAGCTAACTGAGATCAGGGGTCTTGCATCCTCGATGCTGATTGTCAGTTGGGGTAAAGCATTGCCATTGATCATCAAGGGTATTTTTCTGAGCTCCCAACTTTGAACATCTTTAAATAAAGCGCGTGGGAAACCAGTAATAGAACGTTGTGGAGTTCAACCATTCAGAAGGATGTGGGACACAATGGGGGCCTTGCAGCCCGAGGTCAGTCAGGGTCATGGGGTTCAGCCATCAGCTAACTGAGATCAGGGGTCTTGCATCCTCGCTCTGTCTAAGCCATTAAATGGTAAATACACTATATTGAAATTGTGTTCACTGCAGACATGTTCTGGACTGCTTCTTGATTTCAATTTAATTCAAATGATTTAAGGGTGATAGACTAGTGACTACCACAGGTGGACAGTGTCCAAGTTGTGCTTGATCTTAATGTGTTGCTGATTGTATCAGTTGGGGTAAAGCATTGCCGTTGATTTGATGAGCTGTTTTCTCTGATGTGATGAAGATGAGAATGTCTGTGGGTCGTTAGAGACACAGAAGCTAGGGCGCAACTATATCAGGAAGATTTGGGTGATAATCCAGAGATTAAACCAAGGACAGTCCGACAACAAAAATTAAAATGAGAAAACACTTAAGCAAGACACAAGGACAGACTTCCAGTTCACCAATGGCAAACAGTAGGGCAAATGAGGATGAAAAGGCCGATAGTGAACCACCAGGACACCCTGAACTCAAAGCACAGGAAGTAACAAAACAGATCAATCAGGCTCTAGAAAAATTCAAAACAGAAATAATTTCCCAGATAACCATAGAGATAGTGAGCAAAATGGAAGTCGTGATTCGAGACTCTAGAGCAGAAACTGACAAAAAAATAGATGAGCTCAGGACCATGATAGAAGCCATGAAGGCCCAGCATAAGAAAGAAATGGAAAAAATAAACGCCCAACATAGGAAAGAAATGGAATCCATAAAACAGATTCAAACAGATATCCAGGAGATTAAACACTCTATTGAAAGTGTACGCAACAGAATAAAAGAATGCGAAGATAGGCTCTCAGATATAGAAGATAAGATTGCAGTCAGTGACCATGAAAAGAGAGGTCTCTTAAAAACAGTAAGAGATCATGAGAAATCGATCCAACAACTCCTAGATGATGCAAAGAAGAATAACATAAGACTGATAGGAATACATGAAGTAGCAGGAGAAAATACAAATGACTTAAAAAAGCTGTTTGCAGAATTAATGACAGAAAACTTCCCAAACAGAGGGGAAGAATTTGACATTCAGATAACTGAGGCATATAGGACCCCAACTAGCTACAATAAAAAAAAATCTACACCTAGACATATAATAATCAAGATCCCAGAAACCCAACAGAAGAACAAAATACTACAAGCAGTAAGAGAAAAGAAACAAATCACATACAAAGGAAAGCCCATCAGAATCACAGCAGACTTTTCAACACAAACCCTTGGGGCAAGGAGAGCCTGGAATGAGATATTTCAAGTACTAAAAGAGAACAACCTCCAACCTAGACTGATGTATCCAGCAAAACTCTCTTTCAAAATGGATGGGGAAATAAGACACTTCCACGACAAAGAACACCTGAGAAACTACATGAATACCAAACCAGCACTACAAGCAATTCTAAACAAGATCCTAGAAAAAGACAATGAAGGCAACAACACCATGAGGCCCAACAGAGCAAATCAAATAGGCAAGGCAAGAAATTAAAATCAGAAGGTGAAAAAGTAAAAAGAGTCAACAAAAGGCCAATAACATGTTAATAATAAGTCAGTACATATCAGTTATAACCAGCAATGTCAATGGCCTCAACTCACCAATCAAGAGAAACAGACTGGCAAATTGGAATAAGAAGCAAAATCCAACAATATGTTGTATACAAGAAACACACCTAGTGCAAAAAGAAGCCCATAGACTGAAAGTAAAAAGAGAGAAAACAATTTTCCATGTGACAGGAGCCCAGAAAAAAACAGGAGTAGCAATCTTATTTGAAGACAAAGTAAATTTCAAACCAAAACTGAATCTAGTATTATTGATGTAGGACGGTACTGTATCATACACCTCAATGAATGTAAAATATCTTGTACCTGCTTTATGATACATAGTAGGGACTGTGCTTTATCAGAGCTACATTTAATAATATTACTCTAGAATGTTCTCTTTCCAGATGATGATTAAGAGGCTAATAGAAAAAATGGTGCCAGGTACCACAACAGCAACAGAACTTTGCTGTTGTCTGGATATTATTCTTTTCTTTGTTTTTTGTTTTTTGTTTTTAATGGAACGTGCTGAATGTCTATAATTTTGTTCAGATGACTGCAGAACCTGGAAAAGCTGTTGCTGCTATCGATGTATAACATAGTATTATTAGTCTTTTTATATAAATATATATATACATATATATATAAATTGAATTTTGGGAAACTTTAACGGTGCTGACAACTTTGGAAAAAGTCATCCCAATTTACTGTGTTGACTTGGCATTGTACAGAAATGGACAACCATATTGGTCTAGAAATGTTAATTTTTATTTATATTTTTTTTCCATATGTACAGGGGTAACACATTGTACTAGATATGTAAGGTCATATCTACGTGGGTTTGATTACAGAAACTAATAAAGTATTCTCTAAATAATGAAAAAAAGAATAAGATAAGACTATAAGAGCGAGAAGCAATTTAAATATGTTCAGGGACCATTTTTATCTCCAGAATTAAGGATTATTTTAATGTTACATCATTGCCTTTTCTCTTTTACTTTCCTTTTTAGTTTTCTTTTAGGATTCCCTATTTTTAATGTTCATACAGAGATTTCTTTAACTGAAATATCGAATAGTTTCTTTGGTGTGAAA